CTCTCCCCTTCACTACCCTACACCTCCCCCACACCCTCAAACCCACACCATCAAACCCACACCCTCAACCACCACACCCTCACCACCACACCCTCAAACCCACACCATCAACCACCACACACTCACCACCACACCCTCAACCACCACACACTCACCACCACACTCTCACCACTACACCCTCAACCACCACACCCTACCACCACACCCTCAACCACCACACCTCACCTCACCACATTCTCAACCACCACACACTCACCACACACACTCACCACCACACCCTCAAACCCACACCTCACCACCACACACTCACCACCACACCCTCAACCACCACACACTCACCACCACACCCTCAACCACCACACCCTCAACCACCACACCCTCATCACCACAGTCTCACCACCACACATGACTCCCACTCTCACTCTCGTCCACCTCTCTGAAGAAGATAGCCGTGAAGGAGGGAGGGAGGGAGGCAGTCAAGGCTCCACCTCCACTTGTTCCTCCACCAGTGTTATCAACATAATCGTCTCTCAAAATATGAAATACTCCTCGTGAGAGAGAGAGAGAAAAAATATATATACAATAATATAAAACGGATATTTACGAGGTGGAGTGTGTGTGTTTGGAGACGCCTCTATAGCGAGCTCTCCTAGTGCTCTCTCCCGGCCCAACCTCCATGTTTATATCACGCTTATATCACCTTTATATCACCGTTATGATCGCTATTTCGCGCTATAACCCTGCTGGGGATGGCGCCTGATAGCCGATAAATTATCCAGGTATGAGACAGTTATGTATGAATGAGTGAAAACAGATAATACCTGTATTCAAGGTGGGGGGGTGAGGGGGGTGAGGGGGGAGAGGGGATTCTTATAACAGCCATCTCTCTGTTATGTCTCTGAGGGAGGGAAGGGGAGGGAGTAGAGCGAATGGGGAGGGGAGAGGATGGGGAAGTTGGTAGATGATATGTTTGTGAAGCAGGGGGGGGGGGCTGTGTGTGTGTGTGTAAGAGAGGATACAGACAATTTATACAGCTTTCAGAATAAAGGATGTGGGCAATTTTTCCTCGTTTTCAGGATATACAATTCAGTTTATCATTAACATACACAGGGAATTCTCAGTGTCGTGTATAACAGTCAAGTTCTCTTCTCTCAAGTGTCGTGACTCTGTGTTAACATTTACACTAAACTCCCAGCACCCATCAGGAGGACCAAGGAAGAGGGTGAAGATTCCTTGTGACTAACATAAGGGATCTCTGTATTTGGAAAAGATCATCACCATAGTTTGATTAATTTCAGTCCCACGACCTAATGTGTGGTGGTGTATACCCGTGATAAGTGGTGTCCCGTAGGGCAGTGTGCTATGACCTGCGATTCACTTTTACTCACAAATGTTTACTAAGGACACCATGGAAGTTAAACAAATTAGAAGTTTGGTTGTGAAGACTGGTGAAATTATCTTTGCCAGCTTCAAGCATCGCGCCACATGAATATACGCTAAGATCTGACTGAAAAAATGTAAGAGGCTGCAACTTGGAGATATTTTTGGTAAAAGAAGTATGCCAAGCGTATCAACATATTGGAGATGAAGTCATAAGTACAGTAACTGAAAATGCAAATACGGTTTTGGTGTTTGTGTTGATAAAAAAAAAGTGAAATGAGAAACACATGAGCCTTGTAAACAAACTCATTGGATTAATACGAAAATCTCTTAAATATCTAGTTTGGATTAGACTCTGTGATTAGAGGATTTAAATTATGTTACCTCATTTGGAGTCTGGTGGTCCTATTTACTATTTTACACATGATGGAGCACATAACAGTGTGACCTACACATGAGCTTGGCTTACCTGGTGACTCATTAAATTTACTAATCAATCCAGACCGTCAACATGCGGGCCTGACGTCACCTGTTGTAGCCAGGTGGAGAGAGTTAGGTGTAGGTTCTATGGTCTGGGTTTTTGTGAGGTAGTTGGGATATTAACAACAGGTAGGTGGAGACGTGGCCCCCTAGACATGTTTTAAACTGTCAATAATGGCTGCTGTGCTGCTCAGTTTGTTTCATTTATCAAAAGTAAAGTGGAGAATATTTGTTGATACTGTAGGAGAGTTATTGACGTTTATATGACCACACCCACAAGAGAAGAGGTCAAGAGGCCACAGCCTCAAGCCAAGGAAGCTGCCAGCACATAAAACTGTTACAACTAACTTCTGTCACTTTATGTAACTTGCTGACAAAACCTATGACCCTTCAGGTTTTTATGCCCTTAATGCATGAGTCATAAAGGCAAGCATGAACTTAGCATGCTTCCCAGATGGGCGCTGTAAACGCTTCTGCGTTTCACCTTGCACAGGATGTAAGGGGGTGCCCAATAAACTAGTCCCCTCGGGGGCAATCTAAAAAAGAAAAATCTAACTTGTTTGCAGTGAGAGTTGTGGACTCATGGAACAAGCTGCCACTGAATATTGTGAGAACACCAAGTATAAATTGTGTAACGCCCAACTACACCAACACTGACATGTCCAGGTGTACATCCAGAAGTCCGTGCTTGACCACTAACTTCTTGAGAATTAGAAAAGTGAATAAACGTGCGAATAACCGGTGATGGAGAGGATAAATAGTGAGGAACGGCTGTGTGTGTTTGTGTGTGTACTGACTCTTCACCCACACCCCCACTAACCCCCACTCATCAACCCATTAACACCCCCATCAATAATACCACCACACCATTCCAAACAATCACAACCCTCCTCCCCCCTCCCACCATCCTCCCCCTCCTCTCCCCCCTCCTTCCCCCACCCTGCCACACACAACCTCGCCACCTCATTACGCATGACGTATTCGACGTAATGGTACAGTGGCTGACATTTTATGACCAGCCCGTTCATTTTGATCTATTGACGCAGCGCCGGTGTTAAAGGCAGGGGGGGAAGCAAAGGGGCGGTTGGCAGGGGGGGAAGCAAAGGGGCGGTTGGCAGGGGCAGCAAGGGGGTGATTGGCAGGGACGGGTGGTTGTCGGAGGGACCTAAAGGGTGGTTCACAGGGGGAGGCATGGTGTGGTTGGCAGGGGATGGTATAACTAGGAGAATTAGGTAGGGAGGGTGGTTAATGGGGGGTCGTCAGGGAGGGGAGGCAGGTACTGGTAGGATGTGGGCAGGGAGAGATTAGTCGTATAACAGGGGTGGTTGTATAACAAGGTTGGTCGTATAACAGGGGGTGGTCTTATAACAAGGTGGTCGTATAACAGGAGTGGTCGTATAACAGAGGTGGTCGTATAACAGGGGTGGTCGTATAACAAAGTTGGTCGTATAAAAAGGGTGGTTGTATAACAAGGTTGGTCGTATAACAGGGGGTGGTCATATAACAGAGGTGGTCGTATAACAGGGATGGGGAGTATTTCTGTATCATAATAAGTGTCGGCCAATATAATAACACATGGGCCCAGAGGGGAAACTCATCGTCCGTGTGTGTGTGTGTGTGTGTGTGTCTGTGTGTCTGTGTGTGTGTGTGTGGCAGGAAAGAGTCATCAACAGTCCCCCGTCACCACGTAGTCCCGCCTTACCCTCCGCTAATTGGTGGCAAAATGACATGATCAGTGCGATAATTTGGGTCATTTGGGGGCTAATTAAACGCTGGCCGAGTCATAAACTCAACTGCAGATAGGGTGAGGCGGAGGTCGTTTGTACATAACACACAGTTCAGCTGCTGACACTGGGAGCGGTGTGTTGTTTGTCCAATTAATTCACGTAAAGACACGAACTGTAAACAATGTATTTCCACAGTGAAACACCACAGACTGACACGAGTAATAGTCAGCCCACAGTGTCAGCCATGTGGTCCTGGTGTCATGTATCAGAGAGGGTGAGATAATCAGCTCAAAGTGTCAGCCACATGGTCCTGGTGTCATGTATCAGAGAGGGTGAGACAGTCAGCTCAAAGTGTCAGCCATGTGGTCCTGGTGTCATGTATCAGAGAGGGTGAGACAGTCAGCCCACAGTGGCAGCCATGTGGTCCTGGTGTCATGTAGTACAGAGAGGGTGAGATAATCAGCTCAAAGTGTCAGCCATGTGGTCCTGGTGTCATGTAGTACAGAGATGGTGAGACAGTCAGCTCAAAGTGTCAGCCATGTGGTCCTGGTGTCATGTATCAGAGAGAGGTGAGACAGTCTGCTCAAGTGTCAGCCATGTGGTCCTGGTGTCATGTAGTACAGAGAGGGGTGAGACAGTCAGCCCACAGTGTCAGCCATGTGGTCCTGGTGTCATGTATCAGAGAGGGTGAGACAGTCTGCTCAAAGTGTCAGCCATGTGGTCCTGGTGTCATGTAGTACAGAGAGGGTGAGACAGTCAGCCCACAGTGTCAGCCATGTGGTCCTGGTGTCATGTAGTACAGAGAGGGTGAGACAGTCAGCTCAAAGTGTCAGCCATGTGGTCCTGGTGTCATGTAGTACAGAGAGGGTGAGACAGTCAGCCCACAGTGTCAGCCATGTGGTCCTGGTGTCATGTAGTACAGAGAGGGTGAGACAGTCAGCCCACAGTGTCAGCATCATGCACAGTATATCCAACTAGCGTGTGTAGGTATTAATGAACTCGTTGTGTATTTCGGTCATGTACACACACCCCTGAACACATCACTATAGTTCGAGTTTTATACACACACACACACACACACACATATTCATAAACAAAGATATACTTACACACGCAAACACACACTTGCACCCACTGACACACAAACACAGACAGGCAAAGAGACAGACAGAGGCACACACACACAGACACACACACACACACACACACACACACACACACACACACACACACACACACACACACTATAAAACTGAATTTTAAGCTATTTCACCTGATTCATATACCTGCAACATAGACAGGTAATTTAAGGTAATAAAGAGAACTCCACTGATCTCTCTCTCTCTCACTTGCCGTTACCTGAGACTCACACGAGATATAAATGTGGTGAATTTCTCAATGTTTCCCCAACAGTTTACAGTCCAACGGAGAATATTGCTGAAGTAGGTGACAGAGGCTCTCGCTATATGACTAGGTGAGGGAACGTGTAAAACTAGTTGGTGAACAGACCTTTGACGATGGTGGATTTTATTTTATTTTATATATGTTTTTTTTTGTGTATGTGTGTGTTTTGGTGTGTGTGTGTGTGTGTGTGCGTGTTTTGGTGTGTTTGTGTGTTGGTGTGTTTGTGTGTTGGTGTGTGTGTGTTAGATACAATGATCAGTAAATAAACAGACACATTGACAGATAAATATACCTGTAGTTACACAGATACATCACACTTTACAGAGATTAATGGCATGATTATACAGACAGACAGACAGACAGACAGACATATAGCTGAGTATATTTTTCCTCAATATATTCCAAAACCTCATTTCCCCAAATTTTCATATAGACAAAATTTATTCGTAAGTCAGAGTTACACGTGTCTCATAAATCATCAGAAACAGCTTTGTACACCATCAAATCTGAAAACCCCTGATTTACCTTAATAAATCTAGATGGTGATGTGAGGTGGTCAGGTGAGACGGTGGGGCTTCAGAGGTGATTAGTATGCACAGGTGTTGGTTCAGCCTCTGACAACACGCCAGGGATATCCACACCTTGTGCCTGCCTGCCTCATCCATCTCTCTCTCTCTAATTCTCTCTCTCTCTCTCTCTTTCTCTCTTCTCTCAAAGCGATTTTTTGACAATTTTTTTCTCAAGCGTGATTATATATACATTAGGCGTCTGGTGCGGGGTTTTCTGTGCCGTGTGTCTGTCAGGCGTCTGTTTCAGTGTACTGGGCGTGTTCGTCAAGGGAGGCTGGGTTTTCGGGGCCACTTTTTCAATTCCCAGTTTCTTTTTTTTGGGCCTTTTTCTTTGCCTTTGTGATTCAATCTTCCTGTCTCTGTGTTTCTCTCTGTCTCTTGTTCTCTTCTGTCAGTCTGTCTGTCAGTCTGTCTGTCTGTCTGTCTGTCTGTCTGTTTGTCTTTTAGCTGTTTGTTTACTTATTTCTACGTGTGTATTTGTGTCTTTCTCTCTCTCTCTCTCTCTCACACACACACACACACACACACACACACCGACGTGTTTGCTAATCGTGGATAAAGTCTTGTTTTTATTCTTATATCTTAGAGGAAGTTTGATCTTGAGTCTTTTAATTTATTTTACACTAAGAACAACGCTTATCAGTATTATCATTAGTATCAGTTATCATTATTTTTGCGTCTTGATCCTGCTTGAGGAGGTAACAGTGTTGTGAGGGGGAGCTGCTGCTGCTGCTGCTGTTTGTTGATGATGTAGCGTTTTGGTCACCTGGTCTTACCTGCCGGGCTAGGGAGGACCTGACTTACTGACTCACTCACCTGGAGTACCTGAAACTCTGCTGGGAGGTTCATAATGGTGCTGGTGAGTTAGTAGAGGTGGTGATGATGTGACGGTGTTACTTATGACCAGGAAAACCTATTCTTGAAGTGACTAGTAGGGGGGGGGGGACCTGTGGACAACCTGTAGATGACCTGGGCCTTCCCCGACGAGCAATACACTAATGCCACCGGCCATGAAACACACAGGTAACGACCCACTTGTGCGTTAAGAGCGCGTTTACGTGGCACTTACCATCCTTAATGGCGTATAGGAAACTCCTTATGAACTGTGCCCCACTTGTAGTAGACATTACTACCCCAGAGACCTATTAACTTACCGGGAATATCTGAGACACAAAATTTTTATAGAAATAGTGATGGCGTGAATGAAAATGAACAGTTCGTGGAGGTGAAAACGGTGTCCAGTAGTAAACGATGAGAGACGTTGAGATACCTCAAGAGACAACAGAAGACGTCAGCAGATGACGGCAGACTGCAAGAGACGATTGGAGATAACAGGAGACAACAGAAAGCGTTAATAATCTATGGGAGACGTCAGAAGACGTCAGGAGACAGCAAGAGACGGCAGGTGACGTCAGAAAACGCGAGGAGATGCGGGAGGAGCAGCGAGCCAACCGTCTAGTTCACCACACGCCAAAGGCTCGTTTAGCTTTCCTCCTCACCAGCTTCCTTTGTCCCTGGACACCGGCGGCCGTCACACGTCCTCCCCCCCGCCCATCGCTTACACGCCAACAAGATCAGCAAAAATGAAATAACATGCATTAGGAGGAGAAACCTGCCTGGCGATAAGTGGGTTAGACTTCACAAATCTGCACACATGACCAATTACAGCGGCAGCAACGACCTCTCGACCAATGGGTGAGCGTCGCGGCTGGCCAGTATCTCAAGCCTGGACGACGCCGACTGCTCGTAAAGAGGACGGAACAGTCATTAAGCCAGCGCTGGAGCTCGACTCTCTCTTAAAATAAAGTCATTTCTAACTCACTTGCTCAACACACAAGCGATAAATAATTATAAACAACCCGGAGGATAAAATCCAATTAAGAATAAGTGCAGGGACTGGGAGCTTCATCAAAGAATCAATACCACCATAAAAAGAGAGGAGTTATGGCGGAATCAATGAGGCCAGCTTCAGGCGCGGGGGTAAGACGGCCATAAAGAAAGTGGAATGGGCCATCTGCCGAGTTGGCCATCTCTCCTGTCTCCTCCCCACCGTCGCCAGGCCTCTCCGTCAATCCTGGCCCAGGAGATGAATGTGGTGGTCGACGGGGAGGCAGCGACACCCACTTACCCTCACCCTCACCGCCTGCAGGGGGAGAGGGGGCGAGGGGGAGGTGTGACCCTAGGGCTGTTTATTGCCCCAGAAAGGGTGGAGGTGTGGGCCCCCAGAGAGCCCTCCCCCGTCGCCCGCCGCCTCTGTTAATGTGCTGACTGCGGACACATCCCTTATGGCCAGGCACATTGGTTTCCTCTGGTGTATAATGTCGACTTGGAGGAGTACATGAATCGGGGAGGATGTGGGGGGACTACACAGCTCTTTGGGGGAGGATGTGGGGAGACTACACAGCTCTTTGGGGGAGGATGTGGGGGGACTACACAGCTCTTTGGGGAGGATGTGGGGGGCTAGCTACACAGCTCTTTTGGGGGGAGGATGTGGGGGACACAGCTCATGGGGGATGTGGGGGACACAGCTCTTTGGGGAGGATGTGGGGGACTACACAGCTCTTTGGGGGAGATGTGGGGACTACACAGATCTTTGGGGGAGGATGTGGGGACTACACAGCTCTTTGGGGGAGGTGTGAGGACTACACAGCTCTTTGGGGGAGGATGTGGGGGGACTACACAGCTCTTTGGGGGAGGATGTGGGGGAATACACAACTCTTTGGCGTAATATTTAGGAAATTAACTGAAAAATATAAGACCAGCTGCAGATCTATGTATAAAACCGAGTTAGAGTATATTCTGATATTAATAATCATCTGGCGAATAATGCCGAGTTATCGAGGTACAAAATACAAGTAGAGTACGTGTATCTGTAGTTCACTTCCTCTCCGCCAGATGGATTTACTCTATAGAATATTACATAGTAGTTATGATTACTATTGTTATTTACTTATTTATGTATTTATTTATTTTGTACTGTAGTGGTGAATGAAGTCTTTAAAATTCTATACAACTACAGACTTGTGACTTCTAGGTAGTGTGTCTCTCTCAGTAGCACCAACAGCTCTCGTAGATCAAGCTGAATGGTTGAAAGCTTGAACAGCCATATTGGGAGTTATTATTTTGTTTTCAATTCCTCTTCATTAAATGCCTGAACTAAAACTCTCATTGTATTAATGACGTGTTTGAGAGCTTTCAGGTTCTTGAGATGTAAGCCAATGAAAATGAAAGGCAAAATATATCATTAGTTTGTATGGGTGACTCAGACATCCTCACGAACGAACAAAAAATGATGGAAAATTCAACCACATTTATCATAGTACACACACAAAAAAAACTGTCTTTATTGCCACTATGACCACACATCTTTTCCTCCCAGTTGTCTCTCCCTCCCAGTTATCTCTCTTTTCCAGTTATCTCTCCCTCCCAGTTATCTCTCCCTCCCAGTTATCTCTCCCTCCCAGTTATCTCTCTTTTCCAGTTATCTCTCCCTCCCAGTTATCTCTCCCTCCCAGTTATCTCTCCCTCCCAGTTATCTCTCCCTCCCAGTTATCTCTCCCTCCCAGTTATCTCTCCCTCCCAGTTGTTCCTCCCTTATGAGATGACGCATCAAAACTTTTACGATTTATGCTTACGACATCTTTACAGGAGACAGAGAAAGTCGTAAGAGAGAAACCCGAGGATAATGCACAAGGAACTTAAGACATTCTGCAGCTGTCCCCAGGGAGAGCAAAGTGACTTTCACGTAAGAGACGATGTGAGATTTTTTTTCCTCTGTCTGTCTGTCTGTCTCTCTGTCTGTCTATCTGTCTACCTCCTTATTTATGTATCTTCTAGCGTCATGTTTATCATTTATTATGTATCTCTTGGCATTTGTATCTCTCAGACTATGTGCATTTTAACCTTTCTTGTCTCCTAAGCTTTATGTCTTCTATATCTCCTGTGTGCGTCTCCTAGTCTTTGTATCTTTGTAGAGTTTACTTATATCTCCTGCTTCTCTTTACGTATCTCCTAGTCTCCATCTCCTAGACCTCGCTTTCTCTCCTTCCTTTTATCTTTCTCTGTTTCCCTCCCTCCTTCTCTCTCTCTATCTCTCTCCCTCCTTCCTACCCGCCCTCACTCCCTCCCTTCCTCCCTCTCTCTCTCTCTCTCCCTCTCTCTACCATCCAGGGCCACTTGCGTCTCCCCTAGGCAGGCAGTAAATCCTCCTCCCCCCCTACATCTTAGCCCTGCCTCACCCACGCTAGATAGATGGCGCTCGTCTGTTTCCTTGGATAATTAGGTAGATTGACTCTGCTATTTCATTTACTCTCTTTATTAATGCTCTGCCCTGGCCTCTGAGGGGAGAGTAAAGGGAGGAAGAGGGATGGAGAGAATCAGTAGGGTAGGATGAGTGGTAGGTGAGAGAGATAGAAGGAAAGTGAGGTGGAGGGAATAAGAATGGTGAGGAATGGAAGGGGTTGGGGTAGGGAGAGGAGAGTGCAGGGAGGTAATATAATGA